GCCCCAGACCCTTGACATATGATATTAGACAGATAGCCTGGGGCCAGAGCTCTGTACAATAGTAATAGGTAGTCTACATAGGACCTCTGCCCTTATCAGATAGCTGCCACCATGTCTTGATGTGTGAGGACACTTGCACAGGGCTAATGCAGGCATACTCCAGCATGCATACCACTCAGACCACCCTAAAGGGACTAGAGCAGTTGTGTGCAGCCTATGGTGTCCCCACTGACATTGACAGCAACCAAGGCCTGCACTCTACCAGACCCCAGTGTAAGAATAGGTAGAGGCCCTGGAGATCCACTGGCATTTCCATCTGCCATCCATCCCTATGGCAGCAGGGTTGATTAAGCGAATGAATGAACTGTGGAAGCAACACCTCCGGCAGGAGACACACTCTCCTGGCTTTATGGACATGCCATCTATCAGCAGCTGTCCACACCCTGAGTGAGCTCTGCATTCTCACCGCCCAGCACATACACTCTTCTGACACAAGCACCTAACTCTGTCAGAACCTAGGCAGACAATATACAGGACAACACACCTTTGCTCCAACCTGGGACTCAGGTAACTTGCTATTTCTTTTGCCACAGGACTTACTCAGCAGGGAGCACATCACTACGTGGCCCTGGAAATGGCAAATCAGCCCAGTTAGTCTGGATTTCTGCTCCATGGGGGAAGGGCTTAGAACAGAATATCCATGCTATACAGTATTTTGCATCCTACTCCCCTTTATACACCTAAGATAATGAACCCTATTGTCCTCCATGCAAAGGGACAATCATACTGTCCTTGTGGAACATTACAATACCCTGTCTTACTCTAGCTTCCCAAAACGCATCATAGAGGTGGACCAGTTCTTTTGGTATTGTAAGCCAGGAGCTAGACCACTACCAGGGGTAATACTTTCCCCAAATGTCACAATCTCCTCCTCCTGTTAAATAGTCATGGCTTGTCTTTCTTGTTCCCACGAAACATCTTACCCTTCATCCATAGGTGGTGTGTGGAACCTCTTCACTGGATGGGTACAAACAGTGGCCTCTCTCGCCTCCGCCTCTACGAGCCTGCCATGGCATTTGCAATCAGCTAACCTAGGGACCTGGAGCAACCTGTATGCTTGGGTCAACACCTCACATCCATTGCCTCTCAGATGCATATGGTGCAATCATCACAACAAAAAAAGCACATCTTCCACCTATTGGAGCAGGTGAAGACACTCCCTACGGTGGGATACACTGTGCACAATGGTTTGGGGTGCATAACAGCAACACAAATGCAGAACGTGCACCTTTGTGAATTAAAAGGCACAACAGCAGCATGCCTCAAGCTAAGACCTGTAACATGGGGTGGCCTCTCCAAGCCATCCAGTTGACTTACTGGCATGTGGCCAGGATGGAAAAACAATTCTTTTCATCTTAAAACCCACCCTTCTCCCTCAGGGTGGCTGTGGGTCTGTGAACCCAGGACTGGTCCTACTTGCCCTATAACTGAACTGGCAGAGGCAGTTGGGAATATCCCTACTGGCCGGTACGTGTTTTCTCCCACCTAATACCTTCCCTACTACTGGGAAAGTATAAAAGCCAAACATCACCATCAGAGGCGGGTGTCTCCTGCCTGGTGGCTTAATCCCTTAGGCATTTTTGCCCCTCCAGCAACAACCATAGATGTAGAGTTGTAAGTAGAAGCCCTAGATAAGCACATCACTGCTGTCTTTAATGACACTCGCCATGCTATTGCCCTTCTCACTGAAGAAACCTCACAGATTAGGCAAATGACCTTGCAAAACTACACGGCCATAGATATTTTAACTGCTTCTCAGGGTGGCACTTGTACATTGATTAAGACAGAATACTATGCATATATCCCAGATTATGCCCATAGTATAATTCAGGCTATGCAAGCACTAGATACCCACATTTCAGCTAAGGACGCCCTGTCTCAGGACTTTTTCATGGCATGGTTAGATGGAACTCCCCAGTATATGGAGAATCTTCATATGTAGTATGATTGCTATTCTGCTTATCTTCCTGTTTTGTTACTGTGGGCTATATGGCATTTGGTTGCAATGCGCCTCCCATACCTGGCTCCAGGGAATTCCCAGAAGAACATCACACTGAGAACACGAGGGCCGTCAAAGTTATGCAGGGGTGCAGTGCAGGGTGACACACATTCAGTGACATGAGCACACCCTGGATATGGCCCCAAGTAAGGGGTTAGAGACGGGGGAGGTGTCCTAGGAGCGACCACCCTGGAATGCCCCCTTTCCCTTAGGCTCTGGCCTGGGCACACAGGTCATACTGAGGCCCTGGGTAATGTATCCTCCTGCCTGCTGACCACAACTTGCAGCCTCGCATGGTGAATGTGCTTGCACAATCTTCCCTGAGGCAACCCGCCCAGGCTGGTTCAGACCAGATTGTGCAAGCCTGGATCAATGACCACAACCTTATAATACGAAAAATCCCACCCCTAAAGAGAGTTCACAGCCATTTTGTGTACATGTGATGTATGTATGGGGGCCTCTTTACACTATACCTACGCACTAGAAAGCCCACCCTTTCCAGGCTTAACCCCACACTCCGCCCTATGTAAAATGTTGTATAACCTGTGTGCCTTTTACAAGTGCAGTCAGCCACTCCTGGCCATATTCCTTGTAAGCTTTCAAATAGCCCATATCTTGTCTGTTGTTTCTGGGTTATTTTTCAGCCTCTCTGACACAGTGCCTGCCCTTTTGGGGTCTTTAGGAGACAGAGACCCCAACCTTACAAAATAAAATAAATACCCCCTTTAATATAAAGTCTGACTTTGGGACCAAAGGGCTCATGGGAGCATCTGTCTGTAGTGTCCTGACACCCAGGTCAGGGGTACAGAGAGGAGTGTGCAGTTTAGTGCAGAATAGTTCTGTGTTGGAACCAACGTCCCCAATCCTGACCATGCATCTCTCCCATGGGGATGTTTGTGATCATGTCCTAAATAGAGGATCTTAAACAGGGAGGTCCATCCTCATACAGCTAACAAATAACTTGAAAGTACTGATGTTTTGGGTTGTTTCCCCACCTGAAACTTAAAAAAAAAAATCTTTTTAGAGATAGGGCTGCTCTGTTGGCCAGGCTGGAGCATAGTGGCATGATCTTATTTCACTGCAGTCTCAATCTTCCGGGTTCAAGCAGTCCTCCCACCTTGATCTCCAAAAGTGCTGGGATTACAGGGATGCGCCACCATGCATGACTAATTTTGAAATACATTTTTATTTTTTTAGAGAAAAGGTATCACTGTGCTGTCCAGCATAGTCTTGAACTTCTGGGTGCTAGCATTCCTCCCACCTCAGCCTTCCACAGTGCTTGGATTACAGGTGTAAACCACTGTTTCCAGTTTCTGAAACTTTAACACTGAGAGGCCTTTCTACTGAGGCCCTTTCGCCTGTCACTGAGTGCTTGGTCCAAGCCCCAGTCTCAGCCATGAGCCCTGCTATGTGGGGTGGGATGGTTCTAGCAGGCACACTGGAGAAGTAGGCGGAGTACACGGTACCCATGGCCCAGGCAGTGACCTCTCCTCCAAGGGGAACCTGCCCACAGAAGCACCTTGCACCTGCTGTGTCTAGGGCACACTCCTGCAGCTCTCAGTCTCGGGTGCACTTCTGAGCACTGAGGTGCAGAGAGCCCAGACTCAGGTCTTTGCAGAGACTCCTTGGAGACCACAGGCCTGTCCGAGAGCATGCGCTTCTCATCCCCTTGTTGTGAAGGAGGCTTCGCCTGCCCTTGCTACCTCCATTTGGAGACTAGGTGTGAAGTGCTGGGAGTCCTAGGTGCAGCCAGACCCAGGACAGGGGCCACATAACAGGTGCCTGAGAGGTGCTGGTTGGAGCTCATGCATCAAACACACACACACACACACACACACACAAAGTGCCCACTGTGCATAGTCCAGGCACTTAGCATAATTCATTGAACAGAAGAGCCAGAAAATCCTTGCCTCCCTGGGCTTCCATTCATTCCTCACCAGAGGCCACACAGTGCAGGAGCTGCATTGTCCCCTGCAGATTTGAGTGCATCTTCCCCTGCTGGGCCCACTGGAAGTTTGAGAGCTGTGGGCTGAGAAGTGAGGTTGGTAGAGCCCCTGGTCCCATACCTCCTGGTGCCCTCTAGAGGCCTGAGATCAGGGTGTCCCCTGCAGCAGGGACTGGTCCATTCTCCTCGTGCAGCCCACACCTGCCATGTCTTGATGGGGCCCAGGATTGGGGGGCAGCCCATGCTTCAGTGATTCCCTGCACACCCAAGAATAGCACAGAGGGGAGCTAAGCTATAAGTAAGGGCCAGGAGCTCCCACTCGTTCTCTCCTCCCACAGGGATTTATGCAGTGCTGACTGTACAGCAAACGTGAACAGAGCAGGCACAGACTCTCCTGGTGTGGGGGGGTTCCATGGGGAGGGCCTAGGAGACAGGCAGGGGAGGGCTAAGCTTCCCTGAGATGGAGGGTGGCCAGGGAAGGACACTCTTTATCTGTACCTGCTGGGAGGCCAGGGCAGCCACAGCCCAGGTCTGGCCCATCTCTGGCACTGTTGCCCGACACCTAGGGGAGGGATTAGCCCAGTTTCCACTTAGGCCCCAGCGCAGCATGTCCCTTCCTGAGCCCCAGGCAGGGCTAGTAGTGGCCACACGGGACACGGGGACAGGGCTGGGCACAAAGACTCTGGCAGTCACGCTGGATGTGGACACCATTGGCTGTGCTGTGCTGGCCTCACCAGGGAGGCCACAATGCCACCACATAGCCTGAGCTGCCAGCGGCATGCCAACCCCACCTGATCCCCCAGGGCCCCAGGGCCCCATTGGGCCTCACTGGAGAACAGGCCAGGGCAGTGGGTGGCCATGCGTGGCCAGGACTCTTTGGACCCAGGGAGGACTACTCCCAGGGACTCCCAGGTCACTAGGTTCAGCAGGGGGCATGTCCTAGCCCCGGGAAAGGGCCTTGGACTAGAGGCTGCCCTCCTGGGCTCCCAGCAGGTACTAGGGGGCTGCAGTGGCAGCAACAGTTCTCCTTAGTCGCTGCAGCAGCTTCTCAGGCTGGGGTGAGAATGTGCCAGTGTCTACTCTCTGGAAGTCGGGGTGTGTGACCACAGAGGCCAGCACATCCACAATGCGCCCCACGTCGAACACTGCCTGCTCAAGCCCTGGCCTGGTGTCATCCTCTGCCACTCCCTCCTCCAGGATGCAGAGCCTCCTCTCTGCGATGACCTTGAGAAAGTGGTAAAACTCTTCAAAGTTGATGCCCGAGCAGGACCTCATGATGACCTGGAGCATGAGGGAGAGCGTAAGCTTCGGCCGCGGATACAGGAGACAGAGGCACTAGGAGGCTGCAGTCACCATGGAGGCCTGGAGGCCTCCCTGGGGCTGACCTCACACCTACAGTGGGCCTTACCAGCCACATGCTTCTGGACCTGCAGGAGAGCCGGCCCCTGCCCCACCCCAGTCCTGCCCTAGTTAGGCCAAACGAGCCTCCTGTTTCCCTGTCTCACCCCTCTCCCCTGCCCTTCCCCTCCTCCTGCCCCGGCCCTCTTCCCTGCCCTCTCCCCTCACCACTCCTCTCCTTCCCCCCAACCCGCCAGCCACTTCACCTGACAGTGTTGGTGCCAGTCGGGCATGGAGTCCCTCCACTGACCAACCTCCTCTTGCACAGCACGCAGCTCCTGCTGCAGGAAATGCCACATGTTGGCCAGGTTGAAGCCGTTGACCCAATTGTGGTTGATGGAGATGGTGTCATCCTGCAACGGGTGGGGAACAGGCTGGCCATGATCCCATGGTGGCGGCCCGCCCAGTGTGTGATGCTGCCTGGGCCTCCTGGGCCAGGCCCAGGCCTGGGTGAATGACATGGGGACATGCAGGGTCTCAGCCACCTGAAGCCAGGAAGGGCTGCTCAGCAGAGAGAGGGCAGTGTGGGACTACCTCAGTCCACAGCAACTTGAGGGCGAGTGCTCAGGGAAGGTCTGCACAGGGAGTGGAATAGAAGCAGGACCTCAGAGAGGTCATAGTAGAAGGTGCCAGCACTGCCCTCCTGCTGCAGGAAGGCCTCCAGTGAACAGCCAGGAAGGTGGGCATGGCCCAGCACAGCAGGTGGCCTGGGCTTCACGACTAGTCTGGGCGGTGCCTCCTTACCAGGTTGTGGACCTGGTGGTGCCACCCACTGGGCACGAACACCATCTCGCCTGCCTCCTGTGTGAGCTCCAGGGCCGGGCCAGCCAGAGTGCGCCTTGGATGCAGGCATTTGTCCATCAGCGCGGGGACGGTCACATCATAGGGCAGGTGGCCCAGGTGGTCCCGCAGGGCCTCCTCCTGCCCCGGAGGGAACAGGAGCCACTTCTTCCTCCCGCACACATTGACGGACCAGCTGAAGGAGCGAAAGATGTCGGCGTGGAACGGAGACCTGCAGGCAGTGGAGTTTGGTGGGTGCCTACAGAGCTTTGGCAGAGCTCCGTTCCCAAGGCCTCCAACCAGGAGGGCCGGCCCCAGGTGGTGAGACAGGCTGCTCTGATCTCTGTGCCCTCCTCTCTGCCTCCAGATGCCCATGGACCCCCAGGCCTCACCAGGTGCCTGTTGGCCCCGCATAGACGAAGCGGTAGTCATCCACACCCAGGGTATCCCAGAACTCATTCAGCCAGTCAGATGAGAAGTACACAGGCAGGGTGAACACGTCATCTGCTGGGGAATCCCTGCAGAGAAGATGTGAGGCTAGCAGGGCCCCTCCGACCCCAGCAGGCCCAGGCTGTGCATAGGAGACGCTGCGACGCATACGTGGGGCCGCCTGAGACAGCCCAGTCCTGGTAGAGCTGCCAAGTGACCGCAGCTCCTGGGACCAAGGTGAGTCCTACCAAAACTGCTAACCATAAGCAAATAAGGTGGCTTGGGCAGTGCCTATGACTCAGTCCACACCGCCCAGCAGCAACCCCATTCATGGACTGGGTTGTTCTGGTTCCCAAGCTATGGGTGTCCCAAGTTGTGGGTGTCCATCACTTTTTCACTCATCTAGCACACCCCACTTTGCCTAGCAGACACCAGATCACAGGCCCAGGCACAAGGGCCAGGAGTACCTAAGCCCTCCCTAGGGATCTGTCCCCACAACCCCACTGATGAGTACCTCAAGGAAGGTGCACCTCCATGCTGCTAGGTCAGAGAAACTTTGGGACCCCTAGCACAGGATTCAGGGTCAGAGATGATGATGGGCAGAGCTCCGCAGCAATACCCTGCTTGTAGTTTCCCAAAACACCATGCTGGCCCCTTGGCCTGGCTGCCTTTGTGCACCTGAAAATCTCCTATTCATTTGTAAAAACCCTGCTCAACTGTTGCCTCCCTATGCCCTCCCCTGACTGCCTGACCTCCAGCATTCTTCTGCTTTACTTTTAAGGGTTGCCAAGTGAAATACAGGACATCCAGTAAAATATCGATTTCAGATGAACAATGAACAATTTTCTAATAAAAGCATAACCTGTGCAGGCCAGGTGCATTGGCTTATGCCTATAGTCCCAGCACTTTGGGAGGGAGGATCACTAGAGGCTAGAAGTTCAAGGATGCAGTGTGTTGTGGTCACACCACTGCACTACTGCTTGGGCAACAGAGCAAGAACCTACCTTCAAAAATTAAAAAAAAAAAACCATGTCATATGCAACGTTTGGGATACACTCATACCAAAAAAAAAAAAAAAAAAAAAAACAATGAAAAATCAAACAAAAAAACCCCCACTCGCTTATCTACACCCGAAATCCATAGTGCATGATGGTGCTTGAGTCTATATGTGTATGTGTCTTCCTCTGCTGCTGGAGGGAGATCCCTGGTCAGGACAGTGGCAGAGGCACAGTTCTCTGCAGCGGTGGGGGAGCTGACCGTGGTGCTCATGCACTTGGGATTGGTCATGGGAATCACAGGGGCTTGAGCTCTGCCTCCCATTGCCTTCCTGGGCTTTAGTTTCCAGATGAGACTGGGATACAATCCTTCCCTTGTTGCCTCCATGCGAACCAAGCACCTCCTCTGGGCCAGCTGGTGGGGCCTGACTACAATGGCATGTTTAGGAGAAGGCGCTGACCATTCCCAAGAGTGACAATTCCAACCCTGCTACAGACAGCGGGTTTCTTTTAAATGGATCAAGAAAAGAAGAGCTCCTCTTCACACAGGCAGGGCCACCTGAGGGATGCCTCGGCTCCCGCAGGATTGCCAGGGTGCCCTTCACCTGCACAGGTGCCAGTCTTTGAGGTAGAGACAGCCCCGCGGAGAGGAGCAGTCGCCCTGAATGTACTCTTTCCAGTAGCTGATGTAGTCTCTGAGGGGCATATGTTCTTTGGGGTTCGAGTTGTATTCCTGGACCCCGCAGTCTGCAACGGGTACAACCACGTCTCCTGAAACGACAGGGTCAGACACAGACTTTGCAGGGTCCCCTATGCCGTCCTTCCCTAGGCTCTGGCCACACCCAAAGTGCCTACACAGCAATTTCCAGGGGGCACGCATGCCCCCCCCCCACTCCACATCTATGGTGCCCCTCCCGCCTCAGTTCGGCCATGACCTTGGGCGTCTGAGTCCGGACTCTGAGACGAATGGTTCTCCCTTGGGTTAGGCACTTGCTGTGATGGCACCAGCCCTCTCTGGGTCTAAGGCCCGTGTTCCTTCCCAGGTCCCCTATGCTGACCGTAGGTCTGCAGCAGGTAGTCGAAGTCGGGCCTGCCCGCGGGCGTGACCCAGCGGCGCCGGCAGCCCCAGGCGCGGGTGAAGGCGCTGGAGAAGACGCAGGGCCTGTTGGGCAGCAGGAAGCCGCGCACGAAGTCACCGTAGGAGAAGGTGGCAGGCTCCGCGATGAAGGCCACTCCGCCCAGGGCCCCACCACCCGCTTCGCCGTCCCCCGCGGCTCGGAAGTGGCGCTCAGCGAGGACGCGTGTTTCGCGGTCCATCCAGCCGGGCTCGGACGGGGAACGGAGCTCGAGGACACCGGGGATGTAGTGACGCGAGAGCAGAGGGAACTCGGGGACTTTAGGCACGCCTCCCACTTCCCCCGGAGCGGAAACGGCAAGGCACTCACACGGAACTTGGTTCGTGAGCGCACCGCGTTCCCACCGGACCCTAATTTCATGGGCCGCTGAGCGCACAAGCGCGCGGCTCGCCACGAGCCTCATTCTGCGCGTGCGCACGCCTGCTCGAGGACGTCTCCTGCGCAGGCGCTGAGCGTTCGCCGTGCTTCCGACCGGTTACCGGGCGGGTGCAGCGTAGGGTCAGTTCCCTGTCACGATCTCAGGCTCGCCAGCGTCGCGACCCCGCGGCCCCTCTGGTGAGCGGCGGGTTGGCCTACAGGGACCGTTCCCGGCCATGGGCACAGCCTGCTCGCTGTGGGACGCTGTTGGGAGCGTGGGGGGTGGGCGGGCGGAGACGCGACGAGGGGCTGGCAGGGGGCGGGTGTATGGGGGAGGTCATTGGGGTTTAGGGGAACGATAGAGTCTAAGGAGTACATTGGGGTCTAGGGGAACGGGGCGCTCTGGGGGAGTCACTGGAGTTTAGGGGACGGGGGAGCCTAGGGGGCGCGAGTCTAGGGGATCATTGGAGTTTAGGGAGGGGGATTCGGGGTTATTGGGGGTTAGGAGTACGAGAGGTTTATGTGGTCATTGAGTTTTGAGGGGATGGAGATTCCAGGGGAGTCCGAAATTTAGGGGTGTGGCAGAGTTTAGGGAGTCGTTGGGGTTTAGGGAGCTGATGGGGTCTCAATGGTCACTGGGGTTTAGTGGGATGTGGAGTCTAGGGAATTATTGGGGTTTAGGGAATGGGGAGTCTGTGGGGCCACTGGGGTTTAGGGAGACGGGGGTCTAGGGGATCATTGGGGGCTTGAGGAGTTGGTGGAGTCTAGGGGGTCATTGGGGTTTAAAGCGATGGAAGGGGTCGAGGGTGTCATTGGGGTTTGTACCTAGGAGGTCCTTGAGGTTAAGGGAGATGAAGGGTCTAGAAAGTCATTGAGGTTTAGGGGGATGGGAGTCCATAGGTTCACTGGAGCTTAGGAAGACAGGAGTCTAGAACGTCATTGGGGGTTAGGGGAATGGGGATCTAGGGAGTCTTTGGGAGCTTAGGGGAATGGTGGGGTCTAGGGGTTCATTGGGGGCTTGGGCGAATGGCAGGATCTAGGAAGTTGTTGGGGGTTTGGAGGAATGGCAGGTCTAGGGGGATTGGCAGGGGCTAGGGATTCATTGGGGTTTAGGGATGGGGGCCTAGGAAGTCACTGGGGATTTGGGGTGATGGCAGTGTCTAGGGGGTCATTAGGGTTTAAGAGGTTGGGAATCTAGGGAGTTACTGGGGGTGTGGGAGAATGGTGAAGTCTTGGGAGTCGTTGGGTGTTTAGGGGGATGGTAGGTATTCATTGGGAGCTTGGAATGGTGAAGTCTAGGCACTCATTGGATGTTTAGGGGGATGATGCAGTCTAGGGGTTTACTGGGGGCTTGAAGGAATGGTGAGGTCCAAGGGGTCATTGAGGTTTGGGAGGATGGTGGGATCTAGCAGGTCATTGGGGGCTTGGGGACATGGCGGAGTTTGTGGGTATTTGGGGACTTGGCAGGGGCTAGAGAGTCATTAGGGTTTAGGGGATAAGAGTCTAGGAGGTCATTGGGGATTTGGGGTGATGGCAGTGTCTAGGGCTCATTGAGGTTTGGAGAAGTGGCAGAGTCTAGGAGGTCATTAAGGTTTAGGGGTTTAGGGGTCTGGGGATCATTGAGGGTTTGGGGTGATCATGGGGTCTGGGGGTCATGGGGTTTGGGATGATTGTGGGGTCTGGGTCACTGGGGATTTGGGAGAATTGTAGGGTCTAGGGTATCTTGGGATCTTGGAGGATAGTGGAGTCTTGGGTGTCATTAGGGGTTTGGATGATGGCGGGGTTCAGAGGACAGCATGGTCTGAAGAAGAAGGTAGGCTTGAAGGGCCTGTGAAGGTAAGGGAATGAGAGGAGGGGATTCTGAGTGGGGAGATTTGCGGTGTCCTGTTTTACTGAACCTGTAACTGGGTGTGTCTATCAGGAAGGGTCACACTGCTCGAGATTGGCTGGTCGAGTCCACAGAGGAAGGGCTGACAGCAGGTGCTGCACCCAGAATACTTGTCGGGCTCACATAGCATCCTCAGTGGCGAGGGAAAGGAGTATCCCATTGGCTGTGTCTGTGGTAAAGGCCTCCGGGACCGAGTCATGAGACGACTGAAGGAGTCTGGCTCAGGCTGGGCCCATTTCCTCCAGTAACCTGGACGCCTTTGACCTTTACTCACACCTGGGAACGTCCAGCCTGCTAAGGACCTGTGGCTCACATGTCAGCGATCAGGGCATCCAGTGATTACAGGCAGGACACACCAGGAAATTGGGCCCCGGAGGCCCTATGCAGATGTGTTTTGCATGTTGGAGAAAGAGAAGTCTTGGCAACTCTAGCCTGCCCACACTAACATGGAAGGGAAGGAAACAAGCTGTGTGCACCTGGCAGGATGATGCACACAGGTGGTGTGCCAGAGACACAGCAGGGCAGTGTGTCCCAGGCCCCGCACATAAGAAGGAAGAACCATGAAACCTCTCTCCTCTCCTCCAGAGAAGCAAGGTTACCACATGTGGGGAGACTGCGTCCATTGTGAAAGTCTTTTTTGCCCATCTGGGGTCAGCAGGCCATGGCTGTGCCCTGGAAAGTCTGCAGACTGGTCTGTCTGGGTTCAGACTGAAAGGAGACCTACCCCGGGCAAGGCGGCAATCATCTTCCCTCTGTTAAGCAGTGACAGCATCTCTTTACCCTGATGAGTGTGGTGTGGTTTACCCAGAGGGAGAACAGGAAGGATGGGGGGACCCAGGAGAGCTAGAGGGCAGATCAGGGAGGGTGGGTATTGGTGTGACATGGAGTACCTCATTTGCCTCAAGCCAGGTCAGGCTGTGGTGGAAGTTGAGAGTGCCCTGAAAGGCTGCAGGTGAGAACCCAGGACCATACAGAACTGCCACCTGCATGCGTCCCTCCCCCCTTCACCACCCTCCCCTCCTCATGACCTGGCTCCTGGACTGGCATCCTGTGCAGCCCGCATGTGTACATGCTCACTGCTGTCCACTTCTTGTTTTTTAATTAACCCTGTGCTGCAGCATCCTGTCAGGTGTTGACCAGGTGCTCCTTAGTTATTAAGGGTGTTTCGTTGTCACATGGGGTGTGCAGCTCATAGGAGGAAATAGGGAGGTGGAGGCAGATGGGACTGGGAACAGGTTGTATCCTCTCAAGGTCAGGAAATATGGTTCCCAGTTTACCTTCTGGGAAAACGTGAGATTCAGCCAGGCCCACTTGGAAGCTCCCACAACCTATGGTGGAGACTTGGGTTCCTAAGAAGTGGGGTTGGGCCCCAGGTCCAGGGGTTCCCAAGATCACTGGGGCACCTGGGCCTGCCCCTCGGGGTGGAACTGTTGCTTGCTCCCAGACTGCCACCTGTGCTTTCTTCCCTGGAGGCCTCCCTGGAGCTGGTGAGCAGAGCTCATTCTTGCCTGCCCCGCCCTCCCCAGGACCTCCCTCGGGGTAGGGCCCACAGGAGCCATAAAGTCAGCCAGTGGAGCCGGGCTCTTCTGTGAGAAGTTGGTTGGCTCAGCCCATGAAGGCCTCCGTCTCACCTCCCAGGCTGGACTGGGGACCTCTGAGTGAGTGGAAAGACGGCTGCGGGGGCAGGAGGGCAGATCATGGAAAAGCTGCCACCATCTACCGGCACACACAGCTCCACTGTCCTGGTCTGCATGGAAAGTGCAAGATGTCACTTGTTGTGTCACCTTGCAAATGAGCTAAAAATAGGCTGTTTACTCGATCCTCACTCAAGACCACACATGTGATGACTGAAAGAGACCCGTTGTACAGGCTGAAGGACATGATGGGTCAGGCCCCATGACCTGGGAGTGCTGTGTGTGTGGCTTGGCCTCTGGTCGGCCCGTTGCCGTGACTGCCCTCACAGTTCTGCTGTGCACCCTCAGGATCCACACAGGCCTCAGGGCACATATGTGTGGAGGAGGTGGCGGGTGGCGGTGGGTTAGGACCATGTGAGGACTCCAGGAGTTGAGCATCCACTGCAGAGCCAGGCCGCACATGAGGGTGTGGGCATGGGCATGATCCTGTTTCCATATTGTGGGACTGTCCTGCTCGACAGAATCCATGGGGTGCCTCCTCTGTGATGGTCCCTTTCTTAGCAGGACAGCCATGAAAGCACGTGACAGGCTTACTGTAGTTGTGTGAGTGCTGCAGTTGGTGGTGTGCTCTAGAATGGGTGATGATGCCTCAGAACAGACCCAAGGAGTAGAAAGGTTGCCAGGAGCGAGGGCAGAGGGAGGCCCTGGCAGAGAGCCCACAGGTCCTGCAGAGTCCATGAGGCTGCGGTACAGAGCATGGATTTCTCTTTAAGTATTCAGGGCAGGGCTTTCGGCAGAGGCATGATACTCTTCTTTCCTTTCTTTGTCTTTTCTTTTTTTGTTTTTAAAGGAGATAGGGTCTTGCTATGTTGCCTAGTCTTGTCTTGAACTCCTGGACTTACATGATCCTCCTACTTTGGCTTCCCAAAGTGCTGGGATTACAGGCATGAACCACCTTGCCTGGCTAATTTAATTTTTTGTAGGTTACAGGGTCTTGCTATGTTGCCCAGGCTGGTCTCAAGCTTCTGACCTCATGTGATCTCCCCACCCAGGCCTTCCAAAGTGCTAGCATTGCAGGTATAAGCCACTGGGCCCAGCTAATTATTTTCATTTTTTACAGGATGAGGTCTTGCTATGCTTCTCAAGCTGGTCTCAAAACTCCTAGCCTTGAGCAGTCCCACCTCAGCCTCCCAAAGCACTGGGATTACAGGTGTGAGTCACCATGCCTGACCTCAATACATAGTTTTATCCGAGAGAAGGCTGGTGTGAAGGACCTGCACCTCCAGCATAATGGTCTCGCAGAGTCATGCGTGCCATTGTGCAACCTGTGAGCAGCTTCCTCCTCGCTGGCCAACCAGTGAGCCTGCTGCCTTCCCAGAAGACAACCCTGAACTTCCTGTGTGGCACAGTGGTTGTCTGCCCCAGGTCCCAGGTAGACACTGTTCACGTGAGGTTTGTATCACAGCTGGGGAGCCCTGAGCTCAGGAAAGCCCCTATGCTCAGGGACCTGTAGCAAACCTTCCCTAACTCTCCCCCAGAGGGGATGTCATCCTAGTTATCTGGATCCTCTCTCTGACCTTACGGAGATGCCAGCCATGGCCTGAGACTGCTGCCATGCAGGCATCCCAGAAATACTGTGTAGGACAGGAACCACGCCACAGGACATGCATAGACACATAGAGAGTTGTCCGCCACCGAGCCAGTTTGTGGACTCTCCCACATCATCCTGATGCTCTGGGCTGACTCCATCTTGTCACAGGGCACTTAGCTAGGGGTCCAGGCAGCAGGACGAAGCCCACCTGCAGTACCTGATCAACTGTGCCCCATGGTACCATAAACTGCTCCGTGGCAAACTCATCACCAAGAGGAGGGTGGAGGAAACAGGCCCTGCTCTGAGGGCCTCCGGTTACATGTGCGGGTGGCCTTGCGTTTGGAGAAGGGAAGGTAATGTGTTCAGGTCCATCTGCCCTAGAGGAAGGTAGGCTCTGCACTGGGGGAAAATGGCCGTGACCACATGGATGGGGAAACCAGCTGCCTGGTCCAGCCACGCCTCCTCCCACGTAGCACTTCTGTCCCCTGTGATGTGCACCTGGTGATGTGATGCTTGTTCACAGGTAACCAGGTCCTTGTGTGATTCTAGTCTCATTTCAGTGCAAGCTCATCATGTGTGGGTGCTTCTTGGTGTGTTGGCCAGCTGTGTGCCATGGAGTCTGGCACAGGGAGCACATGGAAGAGTGTGACTATGCAAGCCGACTCACAGATGCATGGCTGTGTCAGGGTGGCTCCCGCCTAGCCAGCAGCCAGTGCAGCAGGACTCATGAGCGTGCACTGAGAGAGATATCTGGAGGGTACCACTGGCTGTGTGTTTTCCTATTTTCATACGTGATGCCATGTGATAGTGACATGTGAGAAGAAAGTGGGGTAGATGCCCCGCCTGCTTTGCTGTGACAACCCAGGCACAGTGACCTCAGGCCTGGCTCTCAGCTCACCCGAGACATAGATACATAACTGGACCTGGCACGAGGCTCTCTTCCTTTCTTGATTCCTCTCTGCACAGTGGGAGAGCTGGATAATATGTCCCAGGAGGGCACATTCGAATCTGACATGCAAGCCTTTTCAAAGTGCACTGACATGTGTGGATGTGGAAGTGCGAGTAGGTTGCCTTCCTCACACATCACCTATAAAACGACTTTCATATGCAGTTGCCATGTCTGTGTACGTATGGTCACATGATTCTGCAGAACCTGAGGTCAGCTAGGGTTACAAGATGGGAAGTTTTGTCTGCACAGTTGTTTTTTCTATGCACTTAAATGTGTAGACATTTCAAGGCCAAGCATGGTGGTTCATCCCTGTAATCCCAGCACTTTGAGAAGCCAAGGCAAGAGAATTGCTTGAGCCTAGGAATTCAAGACCACCCTGGGCAACATAGCAAGACCCCATCTCTACAAAAAAAAAAAAAAAATTAGCTGGGCATAGTGGTGCATGCCATAGTCACAGCTGCTTGGGAGACTGAAGCAGGAGGATTGCCTGAGCCCAGAGGGGTAAGGCTTTGGTGGGCCATGATTTATGTCACTGCACTCCAGCCTGGGTGGCAGAGTGAGATCTCTGTTTAAAAAAAAAATTCAAAAGAGGAATGTGAGCAGAAACTTGAATGAGTGTGACTTGAGAGGAAGCATCCCACCCAAAAGACTGTTCCTAGGAAGAGTCAGTGAGGCCAGGGAGCAGGGTCTGGGTGGGAGTGTCCAGCAATGTCCTTCCTCAACTTACATCCAGTGGTGGACACTGATCTGAGTGGGTTGGCTCTGGTAGGGATAACGGTATAAATCTTGCCCAGGGATGGGCATTAGTCTAGGACTTAGAGTCCTGGCTCTGACTCTAGCACCTCCCGCTCTGGCCACCCTCACTTGCGTGAGGCCATGTACTTTTTCCTGTGGCTGTAGGTGCTAGGAGGGCGGCTGTATGCTGTGGTCCGTGGGTGCTCAGAGCCTAGAGCCGCGGGAATGGCTGGGACTTCAGTCCATGGGAGATGGACATACTGTCACTGTCCCTTCTCCTTCAGGGGCAGAAACAGTAGCCTGGATCTCGGCGCACACTCACCAGGAGCAAATGAGCAGGGACGTCTGCATCCACACCTGGCTGTGCTCCTACTATTTGGAGCCTGAGAGGCGATGGGTCCCTGGAAGATTGTCCTTGACATCACGGTCCCTCAGGTTCTTGACAGATGGCACTGGGGAGGCTCTGGTGAGCCTTCCCCTGTCCAGCATCATGGAGATCAGGAAGGAAGGCTTGCGCTTCATCTTCAGCTCCATCACTGTCTTGGAGACGGGCCATGTCAAGCACTGGTTCAGCTCCCTGCAGCCCAGCCGCAATGCCGTCTTCAGCATCCTCGAGCACTTCTGGCGGGAGCTACTGCTGTCACAGCCCAGGGCCGCCATGGACGCTTTGCCCAAGACTCGTGGACAGGAGCTAGTGGGACTGATGGCCAGGTCCCAGAGACGACTGGAGGACACGGCCAGGGTCCTGCACCATCAGGGCCAACAGCTTGACAGCGTCATGACAGGCCTGGATAAGATGGAATCGGACCTGGATGTGGCAGACAGGTAGGCCTGCTATATGCACTGTGCTGGGTGCACACAGTAAGATACATCTGCCTGATGGCACAGTTTACATCTGGAACTGTTTTAAGTGCTTACTGAGGATGACCTGCTCCAACCTCTGGGCAAGACCAGGTAAATGCATTGTCCTCAGTTTCATCCAGTCTGTGGTTATAGTGCCAGGTTAGTCACGTGGTGCCCTTGATGTGGCCGTTATGGAGCTTCCCACGGTGCCAGGCCGTGAGTCTTGTTCTCAAGCACCACCTGGTAGCAGTGTGCTGTGCCGGATTTTGGTCCCTGGGCACCAGCCTGTCAAGGCCATTGATCTATCCCCCTTTACCTTGGTGCTGGTAGGTCAGAAAGCCTTGGTTGACCTGGGGTCTGTCTTCTAATATGTGCTGTGCTCCAATTAAAAGCTTTTAATCTTAGAAAGTTATTTACCCAGACATTGCCATGAAAAAATAATAATAAACTCATGACTTGGCAACATAGGCAGTGTCTTTTCTCATGAGTAATCACATGTCTAAAGGCAACGTGTGTTCAACCACAGGAATGGCACCTTTGCAGAAATCTTCAGGCAGGCCCAAGGAAAGTGATAGAACTCTCATACCCACTTCCATGCCAATTTCCATAGTCAGTCCGTGCTCACTTCCATGCTCTGCAGTACCTGGAAAGTCACATTGAGCATATCTTGAGGGAAAGCAGCAGTGTCATCTTGTCATGGTGATGGATCAGTCCTGACCTCAGCACAACAGGAGAGGACTCAGACATTGTAAGGGCCTGAGAACACACTTTGTAAAATCTTCGAGGTATCAGCCATATGAGATGTCATGAAGTTTAGTAGAAATAAGCAGTCACTGCTTCATCAGGATAGGCCAAGGTCTCTGAGGTGACAAAGGGTGGAGTGAGATCTGTGTCCCTTTTGGGGATGGTCTGTCCTGAGTGAGGTGTTCCTTGTCAGTGTCTGTAACTCCTGTTTGGTGACAGGACAGGCCCTGGTCTCTGAGGTGACAGAGGGTGAGGTGATATCTTCTTTCAGCCTTTTGTGATTGTGTGTGTTGTGATGTTTCATTGTACTGTTATTGTAGAAAGTTGCTTATAGTTTTTCCATTGCATCTTAACACTGTTTTTGATAATCCCATTTTTCTGTATATCTTAGTTTCTGTGTTCATCTCACATTGTCTTTGTCATTGTATTTTATTTTTTTAAACTGGATGTTCCTATTTTCTGCTTTTTTGTACTTTTAATCTCTAGAAGTGTTTCTTATTCTCCATATGTGCTTCTGATCTGACTTGTGGTTTTCATGTTGTTTCTTTTAGGATAGCATTAACAGATTTATTTTACTTTTACAGTGTCTAGATTTTTAAGATTTCTTTTTCTGTTGGGGCCTCATTCTGTGTATTTTTTTGTCAGATGTGTTCTTGTCAGCTGTGCTTGTGGCGGAGGTGTCATCACAGGGCCCCACGTGGTCCTTAGCTTATCACTCTGCAGCCTCCCATCTCCAGGACCCCGTGGGCTGCCCCAGTCCAGTATGGGGTCTGCTCCCTTCCATGGAGCTCCTGCTATGCCTGCCTCTGGGAGCTGCGTAGTCTCTGAGGGGCAGTGTGCTCTGCCACTAGGACTTGAGCCTGTGCCACCTCCTGCCCCACCATGCGCGCAGAAAGTGCTGCTGCTGTTCGTTTCCATTGTGGTTCTGCCATATCAGTTGCCCCATCTTGCTGCTTCCCTGCAGCTGCCTTGTTTCGCATTTTTGGGTTTGCATGACTTCCTGCTTTTTGTTCTCAGATGTTGCCATCTTATCCTTGCATTCCTAGGGAAGGTGTGTGTGCCCCATGCACCATCTCTATGGCCGCCTCTGACCCTTTGTAAAGCCTGGGCCTTGCTTGTGCTTTGTTTTTGTTGTTTGTTTTTTTGAGTTGGAGTCTCACTACATGGCCCAGACTGGAGTGTAGTAGCACATTCACAGCCACCCCAAAGTGGATCTGCTGGGCTCAGGTGATCCTTCCACCTCAGCCTTCCAAATAGCCGGAACTACAGGCACATGCCACCACACCTGGTTAATTTTTTGATTTATTGTAGAGATGGGGTCTCGCCAAGTAGCCCAGGCTATTCTCTAACCCGTGGACTCAGTCAGTCCTCTCACGTTGGCCTCCACAAGTGCTGGGATTACAGGCTTGCGCCATAGCACCTGGCATGTGCTCTGTTTTTTTAAGCACACCAAGCTCAGATTTATATACTTTTTGTTTCTATTATTACTTCTCAAAAAAATCACATGCAGTGTGTTTTTTCTAAACTCTGTTGTGATTGAAGGTTGGTGAGGATACCTGGCCTGCTATGGGCAGAACCCCCGTCTGCTGATGCCCTGCTGTCCCTGAGGGCTAGAGTGGTATTGGTGCATGTGCAATTAGCACAGACTCACTGGACTGGGCGACCTCCTCCTCGATGAGGCGAGAGGACATCTGCCTGCCTGGTGGTGTCACCATGGGCCTCTCCAGGGCTGGGTTTCTGTTATGTCACTAGGGCTCTCCAGAGATGCGTGACCAGCGGATGCCTGTTCTGGCAAGGCCCATACCTATGGGGAGCCAGCAGGCTAGAGCTCAGTGAAGGTGGCACCTTGAGGCTGCCTGCGAACAGGAGCTGCCCTTGCTCGGGGAGAGTAGGCTCTGCTCTGCCCTTCAGTGGGCTAGATGAAGCCCACCTGAGCGGGAGGGGGGTTCACCTGCTTTCCCCAGTGCCTAACTTTTGTTCAACACACACCTTCACAGAAACTCCTAAAGGAATGTATGCTGAGCAACAGAGCTGGCGACCACCACTGGATATGTGGCAGGAGGTATCATAGGCACCCAGGACTGGGCCCTGAGAGGTCCACAGGAGAAGGCCTGAAGAGGGCATCATGTGGACATGGCTCTGGCACCATGGGCGGGTTGTGTCTTCTCACAGCTGCATTATGTCCTAGAGTGGGAGTGCCAGCACTTGGTGTGCTTTCCAGCTGGCCCGGGGCATCATCTTGTTCCAGGTCATGGGACGAGCACACGTGTGGTTGGAGAATGGGCCTCCCCATCTGTCCGCCCATCCACTGACCAAGCTTTGTTGCTGTGACAGTGCTGCAGTGAACACAAGTGTGGGTGTGTGTTCCCATCCCCAGGGGTGGGATTGCTGGGCATCATGCCCTTGAGAATGGGGATGGGTGCCTTGGTGTAAGGCTGTGTGCCCGTTGCCTTGTTTCTTCCTGGTCTTTCCTAAGGCATCCATGTCCTGGAGCTCTTCCCTCTGGCCAGATCGTGGTTGCGGTGTCCACGTTTTGTGTCTGAGTTTGGGTCTCTGCCATGCAGGCAGGCCTGGTGCCTTCCACAGTGTCACAAGTGTGGTTCCCAGCCCCCAGCACGCTCAGGACTCAGGACATATGGGAGGCAAAGACAGAACTACTGCAGGTTTTTCAAAAGCGACTCAAAGAAACTGAAACTTCTAGGGGTGAACAGTTATGTAGCTATATAAAGACTTTGTTTTTGTAGGTGATTATATCTTTCAGCTTTACTGAGTTGCAGTTGACAAAAACAGTGTATGTTTGAGGTGTGCAACTTGATGTTTTGATGCATGAGCACATGATGAAATAACCAGGACAGTCACACTTCCCCACATACCCATTAATGAGCATGAGTGCCACTTTCCTTTGTGTATGCATGCATATGTTGAGAGCACAAGGTCAGCACCCACCCACCCTCCTGCCCCCCCCGGGCAGATTCTGAGTCTTAATTCAGTGTTGTCAGTTGTGTTCTCACTGCTGTTCCTTGGGTCCCAGAACTGACTTATCTTGCAACTGGGTTTGGTCCTCTTGTCTGACACCTCCCTACCCCCCACCCCACCTCCGGGCACTGCCACTCTCTGCATCCATGAGTTTGATTTTTTAAGATTCCCCATGAGTGAGTTCCTGTGGCATCTGTCTTTCTGTGTCTGGGTAGTTTCAGTCAGCATCATGTTCTCCATCCATGTTGAAATGGCAGGATTTTGTTGCTTTTCGTAACTGAGTCGTATTCCATTGTGTACATATACCACGGTTCTTTGTCCTTTCATCTGACGTGGACACTTGAGTTGAATCCATGTCTTGTCCATGGCATGTCTCGTCCATGGCAAGTAGTGCTGCAGTCAATGTGGGGGTCTCTTTGATATGTTCATTCCTTCCCTCTGGATGAACACCTGGGGTGTGGGGTTATATGGTCGTCCTGTTTCTCATTGCTGGAGGAGCCTCTGTTCTGTCTTCTGCAGTGGCCAGATATATAAAGCCGTTAAGCTGTGTGTGAACCACCTGCTCTGTGTGATTGGTAGGCTTGCCTTGCAGGACCTTATTCGAGGGGTCAGTGGCTCCATCTTACTCCCTTCAGGATGAACATGAGTATGGTACCTGCTCATGATGAACCCTCGGTAGAAGAAGAATTAACAGGAAATGGAGGGGACTTAGAACTAGAACTGCCCATGAGAGAGAATCAAAGGTATTTTGCCTTGGAGAAAAGTCTGTCACAATAGTGAGACTGTTGTCTCTGGAAAGCTAGACTAGATCCTTCAGTTGCAAGGTATTGGGGAGAAAACTTGGCTTAATAATAGGAACTTTCTGACTATCCAGTTATTGAGTCCTAGCAAGTCATCATAGGCATAGTGTGTTGCTCACTTCTGGTTGGAATGTCACAGCATGACTCGTGTTGGTGCCACAGGGACATATGCCTGGAGGGCCCTGCACCCTTTTCAGTTTTGAGAGTCTTAGGATAAGTATGTTTCTTTTCCTTTTCTTTTTAATATCAGTTTCCTTTAAGATTTAATTTGCAAATAAGTCATCTTTAAGATCTAATTTGCAAATAAGAAAAATTCCTGCTGTGTAACCAGATGCCACACTGGCACATGGCCTGCTTCTTGTCTATTCTGATTTGGATGCAGCCACCCGGCCAGTGGGTCAGGCTCTTCCATGTTCTTGTCGCAGTGGCTCTGCTGGGGCTTCTGCCCCATGTGTATCTCCAGCAGACAGTTGGAATGGGGGAGTCCCATGGGCATATGCCTGTAGCATGGGGAGGCCAGTTAGGGGTTCATTCAGGGGGACCTGAGGCTGACCTCCTGTGGTGTGGGGAGAGGCTGGGTTTGTGCCTGGGGGACCTAGTGTTGACCTCCTGGCTAGAGGTCATGGGTCCCTAGAAAGGAATGACTGGGCAGGTGACTTAATTCTTACTTGGTCTGTATAAGCAGAAGAGTTTCAAGTCAAAGGCGCAAGTCTCTAATGAGATTGTAGACAGTCAAGGCCCTCAGTTCTCGGACTGGAGCCAGGTTGCAGACTTAGAACACCTTGAACAAAGGCGAGGCTGGGCTCCCTTGAGGACAGCCCACCCACAGCTGAAACAGGGACCTCTAAAAAAGGAAGTGGTTGGGGGAGGGGGAAGAAAAAAAAGGAAGTGATCATACCCTTCAGGGCCACCGGACATTGACTGAACTGACATTGACTCTAGGAGCCCTGGAAGGTCACTGTGTCTCCAGGCAGAGCAGGGACTGTGGAGGTCAGGTGACTGTGGTTCAGGCCCAACTCACAGGAGTCCAGTGGGGCTCTGGGCTCCTCCTCAGGTTGTTTTCCCCAGTTCTGAAGTAGAGAATTGGAATAGACATCCTCAGCAGCTGTTTCCCTGGCCTGTGCAGCAAGAGCCAATATGGTGCGGTAGGCTAAGCAGAAGGCCTCGGAATGGCCTTGAGCCAGGAGCATGACAAGGCAGAAGCAGTTTTACATCCCTGGAAGGCTAGCAGAGGTGAGCATACCACCAAGGACCTACCAGTGCATGGTGCTGAGTCCGCCCCGCCCTGCTTCATCTCACCTATTTGTGTGAAAAAAAGCCAGGCCTTGGCAAGGCACTGTGGATTCTCTTAAGCTTAGCCAGGTAGGACCTCCAGGGGTAGCTGGGTTCCAGTTGTGGTGTCATCACTTGAGCACACCTGGGGCCTGGGGTGCAGTTATCGGGCTGGTAGGTTCCTTGCTTTCTATCACTGTCTGCAAGGTCCATCCAAAACTGATTGCCTTCCGCTGGCACCGTTTGTTTTTTATTTGTTCTGTTGAATCTTTTTGATCTTTGTTCTTTTGTTTTTCCCCTCCTGTCTTTATTTTTCTCCCTTCTGTACTTTGTAGAAAATTTTGTGGTATAATTAGAGGTTACTTTCAAGATTGTCACCACTCACAAATTAAAGTGGAATAAGGTCAACATGCAGTTCGTATGTGGCATCGTGGCACAACAAGGGCTGTGTTGGAAGGCGACGACACAGAACATCCCCAGTACACAGAAGGTCTGGCATTTGGCTCTCTAGAATCAATAGCAGAGTTTACTGTGAGTCAAGACTGCCCAGGTCAAGGCAATGTGGTGTAAACAGAAGTGTGCATGCTTGCTATCTTTCTCCTGGTTGGCTGCATCTGTGGCAAGTGTCCTCTCCACCCTGTGCCTCAGGGTCCTCTCAGTACCCTGGAGTGCTGTGGAACTGAAATACGATATAGTGGCTACATGTTTTACAAAGGTCAGAGTTTCAAAAAAGAATAGTATTACTCCTTTAAAAAATGGACTGAACTGGTTTCTGTGTCTTCTTTGCGTTTTCAGATTGCTGACAGAGCTGGAGTCTCCCGCTTGGTGGCCCTTCAGCTCCAAGCTTTGGAAGACTGTGCCAGAAGCTAAGCCCAGGGAAGGCAACTCTGTCACTAGTTGTAAACCTTCGGGAAGAGAAGGCATAGTGATCAGAATTCCTGCCATTATCTCCCAAGGGACAGCATCCCAGTTTAGGCCAGGGGTGCTCGTTATCCTTGTGTCTGGCTTGGAAATTTACGACTCCAGCTCCTCGCTCCTGCATAGGTTTGAGAGGGAGGATGTGGATGACATTAAGGTCCATTCGCCATATGAAATTAGCATCCACCACCGGCTTATCGGCAAGCCAGATGTGACTTATCAGGTGATGTCCGCCAGGATGCCGGAGGCCATCCCCGTTCTGGAGGTGCAGTTCAATAAGAAGATGGAGCTGCTGGAAGATGCCCTGGGGTTTGGGAATGCTGGAACCTCTTCTGCTGCAGAGAGGGGCCACTTAGTCCAGCAAACAGGTGAGTGACTGGTGAGATGAGGGGGAAGGGCATGGCTCCCACCTGACAGCAGCCTCACACACCCGTGGGAGATATTTATCAGATGCCTCAGGGTGACTGCTAACCTCCAGCGCTGAGCATAGCCCACTTGTTTATCCAGCCTGTTTTCTTTCTGCTTGACATCTGTGAATCTCAGGCTCCTGAGATGCATCACATGCTCGATAGATAGGTGGGTTTCAGAATAGGTTGGTGCTAGGGCTGAGATGTGGCTTTTTTGTAATGCCCAAAGTTCATGCTGAACTTCAGTACCCAGTGTGGTGGTGCTGGGAGGTGGAGCCTGGTGGGAGATGTTTGGGTCATGAGGAATCTGCCTTCTTGGTGGCTTGGTGCCATCTCGAGGTAATGAGTGAGTCCTCACTTTGGGAAGGCTGGATTAGTCTTTGCAGAAATGCCTAGTTCCCAAGAGATTGGGTTGTTATAACACCTGAACACCCCTCAGTTCTGTCTCTGCAAGTTTCTGCTTCCGCTTTAGCTTTCTCCACCACGTTATGACATAGCATGAATGTCCTCGCCAGAATGCATAGCCATGCCCCATGCCCTCGAACTTCCCAGCCTGGGGATTGGGAGCTAAATAAACCTCTTTTCTGTGTAAATTAACCCAGTCTCTGGTTTTCTTTTAAGCAGTGCAAAACAGACTAAGACACAGTCAGAAAGGGCTTTCAGAAGGAAGCTCCAAGCTTGGTGTTATCACCTGTTGTGCCTCACCTCGTCGGAGTGAGTCAGGAACCAGCACTTCAGAGGTGTAACTAGCACCATCCCCACCTGCCTAGTGGGCTTGTTCCCGCCACTCCTGCCCAGCCCCCTCATCTCCCTGGGCATTCATCTGGCTCCTCCCAAACCCACACCCAGACATGCATTGGGGATCTGCCTCTTGGGGAACTGCAGTGCGGCTATTTGTGATATTCCTGGGTGCTGTGTGGCAGGTGCCCTCCTACAGGCATTGTGTGAGACACGAATGTCTGCTGGGCCTGATATGGGACAGACTAAGGGGGCAGGAAACACAGGCACTTGCCTGGCCACCAGTTTCAGCCTCCTCCCTAGCACAGGGACCTGACAGAACTGACTTCTCAGTGCTGCCTGGCTGACAGAGCCAAGTGGCATCTTGGTGTTTCAGTGCTCGTCCCTCACTTGTGAGGTAGAGCAACCTGTGCTTTGTTTTGACCCTGTGGTTTTGCTATGTGGATAACCCATTCTGTCTTATTTTTTCCTGTTGGCCTTCCTCCCCACCCTCAGATTTGTAAGATTTCCTTATCTCGTAGATATTCAGCCCTTAGTATCTTTGGAGGCTGCAAACATTTCTTCCACATTGTCTTCCTCCGCTACAGAATTTTTTTTTTTTGCTGAGGCACCTTTCCCCTTTAAGGTTGTTTTTGAACCCTCGTTAATAAATCCCAAAGTCATAAAATGCTTCATTTTCTAGTGTTAGCATCATCGTTATGTATATACATATACATGTACATGTACATGTAATATTCATGTATATGCATGTGCACATGCATCACATAATGCTTGTTACATGCACATACTGTAGTGTGTGTAGGTACAGCACACGTACAAGAAATCATCTTATTAACTTTGTTCGTCAGATATCTGTGAAAAGTAAGAGATATTCGCTACTTTTCTAGGTTCTTGACTTTTTCTCATAGGCGGTTGATTTCAGTTTCCATAACCTGTTTCCCTAACACTTGAATATTTTGTTTTTCTCAGTTGTTTCCAATTTCAAGAAGAAATATGTAGATCTGGTTCCATGGTACCAAAATGTTGGAAATATGTCTTTAAATACTTAATAACTTTTTCCCATGGCATTTCCAGATTTTTATTTGGCCCTTAAGGCAGACTTTGAAGCTGCCCCACAAAAAGGGAGAAGGGTGGGCTGGGCCAGCCAACGTGTGACTCTCAGGGTCTGGCCACCTTGGCCCGAGGAAGGGGATGTTGGTGGAGCCCCACTTGGCATACACCACCTGCGTGCCCTCACCCAGCATGCCCCTCCTGGAAGGATGGTGTGGAGACTGTGGGGACAGACATGGAATGCCATGGACCACCTGGTCCACAGTAATTACTGAAGACCTTAAAATGGACCAACTGTGTACCCTCCTCGTGTATGGTATGTGGTTGTATTACAGAGAACCCACTATTATTTTGACTTGGGTTGGGGAGGGGGCTGCAGAGAGAGATGTGGACACAGCTGGAAGAGAAGCATTGATGTCACAGGAAAGCAATCGTGAGAGGACCCGAAGTAGCCAACTTTGTTATTATAAGGGTCATATGCAGACCCCAAGTGTCCCAGAGAGATGGATGCCGAGATGTGCGAAGTGGGGTTCTGCTTGGCAGCCCCAGGTCCACTGGGGCAGTGCGCAGATGTGTGTGACCTCCTGGAGGGCCATGTGCTATCCTGTGGGGTGATGACTACATCTCAGCGTCCACCCAGGGGGTTAGGGGCCACCCTGGGGCTGGTCACACTGAGTTCTGCCTGCTGGGGCTTGAGGGTGGACCTATAGGCATTTGCTGGACTGAGGTCACAGGAGAAATTCTGTCCTCAGGGAGGCGTCAGACATGTTTCAAAGGTTTTTACTAATGGGTCAGGCCCTCGTCTCATGTAGGGTGACCTTTTTTATATACAGTGTCCCAGCTGTGGGCTCCAGCCCCAGGAGCTCACCTGAACTGCTGTGCACAGCAGCCATCCTGGTTGCACTTGTGTGGGGCATGCATCATACTTGCTCAGGATCGTAGACATGTTTCCTGGGTACTCTTCATGCAGACAGGTCCCCTACGGCGGGTGGAGGAGTACTGTCCCTGGAACCATGGGGTGAGTTGGTGAGGCGGTGTGGTGGCATGGTCAGCAGCACCCTCCTGGTCCCGTGTTGGAAGCTGCAAGAGTGGAGGTGGAGACCATGACGGAACGGCACCCAAGTGTGAGTGGCCACATGGGGGCACTCTTGCAGCGCTGCAGGGCACTTGGCTTGTGAGTGACTCACAGGGTGGGATCCTTTTCAGAGCCCTCTATGGGGACCTGGGAGATGGGGATGCCCGCTGCCAGGAAGTGGAAAGCAGAACTCAGTGGCCATGTCTCTGCATGGGTGTTTAAAGGAGCCTGTTGTACTAGAACAGTTTCAGTCCCAGGAGAAGGTGTGGTCTTCCACATCTGTCAGGTGGTTTGGTGACAGCCAGGCAGCCGGGAGCCTACCTGCACTGTCCTCATGGGTGCCCATGCTTGCCTGATCTGCGTGAGCTCAAGGAGCCCCCAGGGTACACACAACTGTCATTCTCCCATCTCCCTGGGTCCTGTGTGGCTGTGACCATGTCCTGAGCTCTCAACTGCCTGCATGGCCTTCAGGCCTGACCAGGGGTCCACACAGCAGTCCCCCTCAGGACCTGGGCCCCATTCTTCCATGATTGGCCTTTCCCAGCCAGGGAGGAAGCCCCTGGGAGGTGCCTGGCCCTTCAGAGGGCTGTTTGTGCACTTATTGATTCTTCCCTTTGCGGCTCACGACCTGTCACCTTTCCAAAGAGGCCTCCTTACATCCAGGAGTCCTCCATCACCCCGTGGTGCGCCGGTCTCAGCTTCCCACCCCAATGAACTTGGTTGCCATTCTCTCCCCCAGGGGCTGTCTGTGCTCATGACAGCACTTACAGTGGGCAGGACCAGAGCACAGAAGGTGCATACATGTGGAGGGTAACATGACAGGGTGGTGCACACCGGCTGCTGAGTCCATCTGTGTACTGTTGTCAGGGTCAGGCCATCCTTGAAGGCAGGATGCCCCAACTGGAATGGAGCTTGGCCTGGACAGGCCAGCTTTGAGATACAGAAAACTTCCTGGCCCCATGTGTCCACGCCGTCCCATGGCATGTACCAGCTCCACTGTGTATTTGTGTGTTGCCTTGGATATGGGATGTGTGAGCTGCAGGCTCTCCTATGTCAGCTCCCAGCACTGCCTTCTGGTTGAACATGTGTCCAGTGTGCAAGGACCCTGCCAGGCATGGTGTCCTATATGGGGGTTGGCATTTCTTGGGGACAGATGAGGCATTTGGGTGCAGAGGTGGGGCTCACCTGAGGACAGTGCCGTGGGAGCTGGTCTCATGTTCAGGGGGCTCCTCCCTGGCTGAAAGGGCAATCTCCCAGGGACAGGTGTCCACAACCCCTTGGCCAGGCGGCCTTGCTCGGGGTATCCCCACAGCCTGTACCCCTGGTCCATGGAATTGCCACTCATCCCCTTCCACCATGAACTGCTGTGAACTGGAGGCAATGGCTTTTGTTTATGGAGATTGTCAGTGACTTGAGACAAAACGTCCTCTGCAGAACCAGATCAGCTGTCCTCTGAAGGAATACTCCGTATTAGCCACCTGAGGCAACAGCTCTGCAAGCAGCCCAGCCCTGGAAATGCAGCCGTGGTGACAGGACCCCTGCCCCACAGCCTGGGGAAAACACCCCTAACTTAGCTGCTTGCTAGGAATGAGTGCTGCCCTCTGTTTCAGCTTTCTGAGTGTATAAGCAAGACCTCAGCTGTTGAAATCCAGGAATGGTCAGTGTACTCTCTGATGTAGCATCAGGTGTTAAAATGAAGTCAAGTTGCAGGTGGGGGCACAGAGGTCCTGCCCTTAGAGCCTGTGTGGAGCCAGGCACTGTGGCACATGCTTGTGATCCCAGCACTTTGGGAGGCCGAGGCAGGAGGATCACTTGAGGTTGGGAGTTCAATACCAGTCTGAGCAACATAGCAAAACCCTGTCTCTACAGGAAAATTAAGTCCTGTGTCATCACTGGAGAAGATGCTAAAGAAGGTACACACCAAGCATGGTACCTCACAAGTTAGCATGAAGCTGGGACACAGTGGCCAAAGAGGTGCATGAAACAGCACATGGCTAATCACAGGCCAGACTGAGGGAAGATGGCTGCTGCTCTTGGGTGCCAGGGCAAGGCCTGCATGGGGTGCAAGGGTGGTGGACCAGGTGCTAGACTCAGGGTCCTGCGGACACAGGAGCACACTAAGGGAGGGGGATATAGGTGGGTGGGAGGCACTGTTGCTGCCTCTGGGCATGTCCACAAAGGATGCACAGATGCTGTCAGCACCAGGTTATCGCGCTGACATCTCAGATCCGGGCTGGTACTGGCGCAGGACATATCCTCTGTTTGTTCCTCTGTCTCTTGGGCTCGGCCAGTGCTCTTTGGCTGACCTCTTCAGAGAAGTGCTCCTTGTTAAGTGACATTGTTTAAGACCCAGCCACTGGGAGCTGCCTGCTGTGTCCCAGCTTCATGCTAACTTGTAAGGCTGTGGTGATCACTTCTGAACAAGCTATAGGTGTGGGCTTATGAGGTGCTGGCCCCAGAGACCCCAGAAGGGAAGGCATTGCATTTGAGAGGCTGAAAAATGACCTGGAGACAGCAGAAGAGTCAGGGGCTTCATTCAGGAACTTAGGCCCAGGGAAGGGGGCCCAGGGGCTGCTGTCTGGACAGGAAATACTGCCCCTGAGTGTGAAAGGTACACAGGTCACACCTCTAACATAGGGCAAGGCAGGGTTAAGCGTGAAGGGGGGTGGCTAGTGTGTGGGCACAGTGTGGAAACACACTGACACATATGTCACGTGTACACAGAATGGCTGTGAGTTCTCTGTAGGGCAGGATTTTAGTATCGTAATGACCTGAGGATGAACTAAAGGAAAGCAAGGTTGTGGGCGTTGGTCCAGGGGACCCATTCTGGTCAGAAGCAGCCTGGAGGGTGACTGCCTCAAGGAAGGACATGCAAGAACATGCATTATGCAGGGCTGTAAGATATGGTCAGCAGGCAGAGGACATTTCATGCATAGCCTCGGCATGACCTGTGTGCCCAGGCCAGAGCCACCCTCAGGACCCCTTTCCAAGCTTCATCCTCATATTGGGGCCATGTTCAGGGCATGCTCATCTTATCCTGAGTATGCATTGCCCTACTAGGCCAGAACTTTGGAGACAGTGTCTACACATAGCTTGAGTACTTTGCACACACAAATTATGACACGAGTGTGGTTGCTCGCAACCAGATTTTGTTATTTTTATTTTTTGAGAGACAGGGTCTCATGCTATCACCCAGGCTGGAGTGTGGTTGTGTAATCCCGGCTCACTGCAGCTTCCACCTGCTGGGCTCAAGCAATCCTGCCTTGGCATCCCTGGTAGCCGCGGGGGGTGGGGGCACAGGCAAGCTACCAGCCCCAGCGGCTTAGTTTTGAAAGTGTGGTGCAGAAAGTCAGCTGTCTGTGTGATTGTCCCGTGGGTTCTGTTCATGAGACTTGGGTGTGGAACTGCAGTCTTGCCTCCTCCCTTGAGGCCTGTGCTCCCTTGGTGTGGCTGGGACCAGCTTCCTGTGGGCCTGGTCCCTGCACTGACCCGAGCAGCTAACGCTGCTCTGCCAGCCAGGCACTGCCAGGGAGGGAGAGCGTGTGAGAATCATCTTGGCAGATGATGGCTGGAGGGTTGTGTGCGTGTATGAGGGGACAGTGCCCCCACGAAGGCAGGGTCATGTCTTGGGTCTGAGTGGTTGGGCCCGCCCTTTGGCCCCAGTGAGCACTTTTGCCCCACACATGCTTCCTCATCTTTCTGGCCTGTCAGGCAGCTGCTCCCAGGTTGTGCATCTTGTGCAGCCATCACGGAGTCCTGCGCAAGATGCCTGCAGGCTCTCGGGTCGCTGAGGCTGCCTGCCTACCCACTGGCCCAGCACAGGAGCCAGCCCTCTTTCTACTTGTTTCTTGGTATCCTCATCAATGACCCATGACGGCTGGGCTGGGTGCTGTATGTGTTGCGGAGAAGAGCAAACATGAGCTTTAACTGCCCCTTATCTGGCTGGCAGGTGCCGACTGTAGCTGGGGCCCTTTCTAAACAAAAGGCAGGTGGCATTCTGCGGAAGGTGCGGCACACTCACACACTGCTGGCCGTTTATGTCCGCCCTCGCCCTCCCAGGTGTCTCGTGGCCCTGCGGCTCACTGCAACCCTGGCAGCGCCCAACTTCTAGCCCTAGTCCGGGCAGCTCTGACTCACCTCCCACCTGGCTGGCTGGGCCCCAGGGCCATTTTCTGTGCTCTCCAGAACCACAGCATCCCACAGAGAAACTCAGATGTCCCCACAGTCATGTGGTTCATGCACATTTCCCTGGGGCTGCATGAGAATTGTGTTTTATGCTCCAGATCTTTAGTCTTTTCTCACAGAAGCAGTCTCCACTCAGGCGAGGGGCCTTTCTTCTGGGAGACCATGATGGAGTCAGCCCTGAGGGTGCAATGTCACAGACTACATCCAGTTGGAAGCCTGTGGATAGGGACTAGTACAGTGCCTGCGGAGACTCCCACTGGGGCCAGGCAGGATGGCTGTGACCCTCTCAAATCTTGCTATTTGCTGTCCCCAGCACTCATGCCTTCGTTGCCCTTTCTGGAATGTCACCGCTGATCGGCAGCTTTCCCTTGCAGCATCCGGGCTGATGGGCCACATCGACCACCTGGCGCCACCCACAGGAGTCCAGGAGGACAGGCTGCTGCAGCTGCAGACCCGTCAGCCAGTCTTCTCCGAGGGAGATGCACAGGAACTGACCCAGGTGAGGTGTCTGCAGTGCCCCACCAGCCTGAGCAGCATCCCCATCCTTCCACAGGCTATCTCTTCTCCCGTCTGCACATGGGTCCAGTCCCCTGTGCTGGCCTGTCCTCTGGCAGGGGTGGCTGGTGTCCACATGGCTTGCCACACTCCCTGCAGCTGGGGGGAGGTAGGGAGGCTGTGCCCATCCCAAATCTCCGTGCCTCATGGCACACAACATGCAGCCCATTCAGACACGTTCCCATGTGTGCACAGCTGCCCTGGCAACCACCTTCAGGGCAACCATATGTGCACTGTACTGTGTGTGCTGTGTATATGTATGCAGTGCACATGCGCTTACTGTGTGTGGACATGTATGTATAAATGTACTCTATGCATGTGTGTATTGTACATGTACTATACATGTGTACATTACCTGGACTGCATTTTGTACTGTACATATGTGTGTATGTGTTGTGTAGAATGTGTGTGTACTGTAGGTGTGCATGTATATGCACTGTGTATATGTATGTACTGTGAAACATGCAGTGTTGCATGTGTGACTGTGTGTGTACCCTGTACATGCATGTATGCCTACTGTGCATGTTCTGTGTGTGTTTTGCTTGTGTATGTGTGTTCTGTGCATGTGTTGCACCTGTGCGTGTGTTCCGTGCATGCTGCACTTGTGCGTATTCCATGTGTGTGCTGCACATGTGCATGTGCTGTGCCTGTGTATGCATTCCACATGTGTGCTGTGCATATGTATGTTCCATGTATGTATTGCACCTTGCATATTCCATGTGTGTGCTGCATCTGTGTGTATGCTTGTTCTGCACATGCTGCATGCGTGCATGTTCTGTGTGTGCTGCACCCGTGTGTGTGTGTTCTGTGCATTTGCTGTGCCTGTGTATATGTGTGTTCTACATGTGTGCAGCACCTATGTGTGTCCAGCTACAAGTGCCACAGTCCCACAGGTGTGCTGGCTCATTCAACTCCCATGTGTGCCCAGCACTGGACTCTTGAGAGACTCACCAGTTTTTACTGGGGTGATTGAAATGTATATGTTTGTTATAGGTACTTTTAACTTTTCTTTCTATGTTATTACTGGACTAGATACTGGCTTTTCTTCTTCCTTTTCAAAGACTCTGAAGCAGAACTTAGTGGTCCTATCATTTCACTTGTAAATAGTTTCATATTTATCTTTAAAAGATATGAGCCCAGCCGGGCTCAGTGGCTCAGCCTGTAATCCCGCACCTTTGGGAGGCAAGGTGAATGGATTGCCTGAGCCTGCGGGTTCGAGACCCACCTGGGCAGCGAGACCACCTCTCTACAATAAATCAAAAAATCAGCCGGGCGTGGTAGCGCATGCCTGTAATTCCGACTACTTGGAAGGCTGAGGCAGAAGGATCGCCGGAGCCCAGCAGGTCGAGGCTGCGGTGGCCGGGAGCGGCCACTGCACTCCAGTCTGGGCGACAGAGTGAGACTCCAACTCAAAAAAAAAAAAAAAAGATATGAGCCTTTAAAAAATATCATGATAGCATTCTTACCTTTGAAAATGAAAAAGTCACTCCTAGTGTCACCAAATTCCGAGTGGTGCTGGGCTCAGCTCACTTCTGCGGCGTGTGCCCTCCTCCATTCTCTTGCTGGCATGGACTTGGGAAGCAGAGCTGTATGCTTTGCTGAGACTGCTCTTTGGACCTACAGCTCATCTGTGATGGGACACAGGCTCACCGTTCCCAAGCCCCCGAGTTGGCACAAGGGTCTGGGGCATGGCCTCACGCTGGGAGAGTGTTTCGTGGGTGGCTCTGCCCACGTCCACTGCGTCTGTGTAGGCATAAAGTCCTCTGAGCTCAGCTCTTGCCTTTTTGGGAAAAAGTGTTCATCTTTGCCGTGGGCTATTTTAAAGAGACACCGTTTGTCACTTTTTCCTCCCAGCCTCGCTTAGTCATATGGTGATGGCCCCCAAGACTCTGCTTCCAGCTGTGACCAGTGTGCTCTGCGGGTTGGTGTCACTTCCTTTATGTGCTCACTGACTGCAGGGCTCACTCAGTGCAGGCTGTGCTTGCTTGGGGTTCTTGAGAACCCTAGTGCTATAAAGGCAGATGGACTTTCCTGGGCTTGCCCTGGACTCCTCTTGAGAGAACATCATAGAGTGCATGTGCCTGAGGCTGGTGGGGCCCAAGCATGCCCCACACCTGCCCTTAGGCAGGTATGTCTGGCTGAAATGCTCTCTCTCTGTCTCACTGTTGTGTTTAGGTTGAACTGGGAACAGGGCTTTGGATGAAAATGTTAACTTTTTTTTTTTTTAATTTTAGAGACAGGGTCTTGCTCATCACCCAGGTTGAATGCAGTGGCACAATCCCCACTCACTGCAGCCTTGAACTCCTAGGCTTAAGAGAGCCTTCTGCCTCAGCCTCTCAAAGTGCTGGAATTACAGGCTGAGCCACTATGCTGGCTGCCCTGTTAATTCTGACGGTGGCTGTGTGGTTTGAAAAGCCTCCAGTTTCCACACATCTAGTTTGTACTACCGTGTGCGTGCCTGCCACCTCAACACCAGGGCGGGCTGGGGAGGTGCTAGGATGAGGGCGCAGAGCTGAAAGCAGGATGGGGCAGCTCAGTGACTACCCCCACTGCTCTCTGTCCCTGGGCCTGCGTGAGTGTGTCACCATCTAGCATTCAAGTGAGTCTCATGGGGTTCAGTGTTGGGAATGGCCAATTCCATGCATCGGGCCCTGGCATCAAGGCCAGTGGTGAGCCCTGGAGGGGCTGGCAGGGCGGGACAGCGCCTGGTCAGATGTGAGCCTCCTTCCTCATGGGGATTGCCTAGCTCCACATGAGATTGTCTTTTTTAGGCAAAACACATGTTTTCTATTTAGAGAAGAATTCCTAGCTGTGCAGTGGAAGCACACACATAAGTCAGAACGAGTTAAATTTCTGGGGAAAACAAAAATGCAAGAAACCCTCCTCCATCCAGCTGTGGTTTTTGTTGCAGATGCTATTAAAGCCATCACGCGGAAGCATGTCCTGGTGGGATGGATCATAGCTGGGGTGCCAAGAGAGAGGGTGGCTGAGATCACGTGGGGCCAGGCAGGACCAGTGCCTCAAGCCCTGGGGTCTGCGGTCAGCCCAGGGTCTGCGTCACTGCGGCCATGGAAGGAGGGCTGGGAGGCCACACTGAGTGGGTTGGCAGAGCCCTGGCCCACTCCTGCTGCCTGCTCCTCCCTCAGAGCTGCTGTGCCCTGTGTCTGTGGGATCTTCAGGGCTACATTGTGGATGGGGCCATACCATGGTGGGGCCTGGGAACACAGAACAAAAGACAGCGTTTGGCTGTTCCCTGGGGGCATCCCAGGCTCACTGAAACCTTCTCCTCTTGTCCTGCTTTGGTGTTTTTCCATCCTGCCTCCGTCTGTCTCCAGGGAAGAACTAGGTGACAGCCAGCCCAAGCCACGTCTGGCAGGCAACTTGCAGGGCCTCGGTTCGGCCACAGCAGGGAAGAAGACTAGAGCTAGGCTCTGGTTATTGTGTATGATAGCCACTTGTCCTGGGGCTATGGATCACAGGCTGTTCAGGTGGCACCCCTGGGCTTCCTGTCTGATGGCATCAGGGTGGCTGCATGCCGCAGTCTATGGAAACGCCATAAGCAGCGAATGCAAAACATGTGCATTAAAGGAAGACTGAGTAGACTAATTTAGTTCTGTTGAAGTCAGTGAGTTTAGCAGGACACAGGGTAGGCTGGCTAGGGAGACTTGCACGAGGGGGCGTGGCTGGAGGGATTGCATAGGGGTATGTGGTGGGGGGGCGTCGTGGGACTAGGTGGCTCCCAGACACCTCATGAATGTGGCAGGACCACTGCCTGCTCAGCAGCTCTGTGTTCTGCAGGGTCTGTGTTGGCAATTCACTGAAACATTCCAGAAATCATGCTGGTGTTCTCTGCTTGCTGTGAAGCTAGCTCAGAAGTTACCACCTTTTTCCTTTTCTTTGTGTCCCTTCCTTTTTGGAGACTAGAACCATCTCAGCACCCTCGCACCCCTCTCCCTGGTCTATTTCCCTGTTCCTGCCCCCTCTGTCTCTAATGCCAACATCCATCCATCGGTGTCCTCTCCTGGTTGGAGGAAAAAGTCTGGGTGTGCTGATTGCTGGAGATCTGTGCCTTCAGCGAACGGCTTTCAGCCTGAATGGGCCGCCAAGCCCTGTGTCATTGCCCTGGCTTTTGTGGGTTTGCCATCCACTTGGGGGCTCACAGCCCCATGTATCACTGGGCATCTGTGGGCCCTGGCTGCTGGAGGACTGGGGCACATCACGCCCATGCTGGGACTGCCTGCCAGGCAGGAGACGGAGCTTGTCCTGTGCATGGTTGGACTCAGGAAGACTGTGAGCAAAGAGAAGGAGTCAGGCTTGTTCCTCTCCTGTTTGTCCCACTATCCTGTGTGTGGTTCCTCCAAAGCTTTCTCACATGCTCATTCCGCCCATATGATAGGCATGTTGATTACCATGCTATGTTCACTTATGTTCACTTATGGCTCCGACATAGCACTGAGCTGCTGCTCTGCCAGGATCTGTGCCTTGGTGGCGGATTATTGCATGTCAGCACTCCTGACACTGCATCCTGCATCTCTTCTGGATGCGATACCTTAGGGAGAGCCTAGTGACAAGGACCCCAGTGCCCTCCAGCCTCTGATGTCCACACACACTTAGAGGATGCATCCCAAACCGACCCTGCCCAAGCATGGGGCTGCCCCTCCGTGGATGCAGGATGGAGACTGGATGGCGGAAGGCCACGCCTTGCTTTTGAGGACTGATCTGTCTCTCTCATGAGCTACTGGCCTGCTGTGAGTGCATGTGCCTGCCTCTGTGCCCTTTGCCCCTGCAGTGGGTGAGCTGCTCCTGTGCCACAGCCTTTTGGAGTGTTGGTCACACTGGCATGATGGCAGGGATCCAGGCCCAGGTGAACAACAGAGACGGGGCTGTGCAGCCTGTGCTAGTGGATCCTGGATGCCCTTATGTCAACAGAGCACAGAGGCCACA